GAGACTCGCTTGAGCCCAGGAGTTGGAGGTTGCTGTGAGCTGTGATGCCACGGCACTCTACCCAGGGGGACAGCTTGAGGCTCTGTCTCAAAAAAATAAATAAATAAATAAATATACACATAAATATAAACCCAGGCAATCTCTTGAAGCAAACAATAGAAGCCTGTGACAGCAGTTGTCTCTACAGAGAAAAACTGCTCTCCTGGATGTTAGGAGTAAGAAGGAAATTCACTTTTCACTGCATACCATTTACCACAAATTAAGTTTACAAGTACACACATTGTTTTATTTTTAAAAGCAAATAAGCAGATGGAAAGTTTCTACCAATAAATAGATGAAAAGTTTCTACTATATATATATTACACGTAACAGACTTTAGAGAAAGAAAATAGCTAAAGAATTATTTACTTACAATTCATCAGGTCTGTAGGGAGGTGGACTTTCAAAAGGCCTTGATGACATGGCTGATATCAATGGTCACCTGAACTTCAGGATGAGCAATGCTGAGCAGCTCCTGAGATAAGCCAATCTATGCAACAGATGAGGGTAACAGCATTACTACTGAGCTCAGTGTTTCTTCACATCACAGAGATAACTAATGATACCAATCTCCAAGGAACCACTCACTCCATAGGCTTTCCCTTATTCCTTGCATTACCCTTTTTACATATTAGACATATTCTGTGAGCACAAGAAATAACTGGACACAAGAATTATTCAGCCTGGTATTCCTCATAGCACCTGCCATCATGTCCTGCATATCCCTGGCATATGAGTATTCTTTTAACTTGAAATTCTAAGTTACAATGATGATAACTTCACAAATTGTCATTTAGCACAGGTATATTTTAAATGTCACTTCAAAGAACAAAGATGTGTTAAGAAAATATATTATTTCACATTGCTTTTGAAAGTTTTATGTAAAATAAGAATGCATATTAAAATACATATACAGATGTCTCTAGCAATGTATCAAGCCCCTCAATGTTAACTGACACAATCTAACTGGTTAAGAAGTATGCCTCTTCCCTTTTGGATAACTGTGGTAATTCTTGATTTTTTTTTGGCCGAGCCTGGGTTTGAACGTACCACCTCTAGCATATGGGGCCAGCACCTTACCCTTTTGAGCCACAGGCACCACCAACTGTAGTAATTCTTAAAAAAAAAAAAAAAAAAAAGGCCAACAGACACATGAAAAAATGCTCATCATCCTTAATCATCAGAGAAATGCAAATCAAAACTACTTTGAGATATCATCTAACTCCAGTAAGATTAGTCCACATCACAAAATCCCCAAACCAGAGATGTTGGCGTGGATGTGGAGAAAAGGGAACACTGCTACACTGCCAGTGTGAATGCAAACTAATCTGTCCCTTTTGGAAAGATGTTTGGAGAACACTTAGAGAACTAAAAATAGACCTGCCATTCGATCCTACAATTCCTCTACTAGGTATATATCCAGAAGACCAAAAACCACATTATAACAAAGATATCTATACCAGAATGTTTATTGCAGCCCAATTCACAATTGCTAAGTCATGGAAGAAGCCCAAGTGCCTAATGACCCATGAATGGATCAATAAATTGTGATATATGTACACCATGGAATATTATGCAGCCTTAAAGAAAGATGGAGACTCTATCTCTTACATGTTGACATGGATGGAGCTGGAACATATTCTTCTGAGCAAAGTATCTCAAGAATGAAAGAAAAAGTATCCAGTGTACTCAGCCCTACAATGAAACCAATTTATATGAAAGCTATAACCCAACTATAGCCCAAGAATATGGAGAAAGGGGAGAGGGAGAGGGGACGGTGGAGGGTGGGTGGAGGGAGGGTAATTGGTGGGTCCACAACTATGGTACATCTTACAAGGGTACATGCAAAACTTACTAAATGTAGAATATAAATGTCTAAACGCAATAACAAAGAAAATGCCATGAAGGCTATATTAACCAGTTTGATGAAAATATTTAAAATTGTATATAAAACCAGCACATTGTACCCCATGACTGCATTAATGTACACAGGGATGATTTAATAAAAAAAAAGAAAGAAAAGAAGGAAGAAAAGAAAAAGAAAAGAAGTAGGCCTCTATCATTATAAATGACTACAAATATATCTCTGACTGATAGGATTCCGGATACCTTCCCCTTATCCCCTTTTCCAAATCTTCAAAATTGAGTACACTTTTTACTAAAGGGGAAAACCACTGAACACGCCTTAGTGAGTCCTTTTCTTTTTTTTCTTTTTTGAGACAGAGACTCAAGCTATCCTCCTGGGTAGAGTGCTGTGGCATCACAGCTCACAGCAACCTCCAACTCCTGGGCAAGCGAGTCTCCTGCCTCAGCTTCCCAAGTAGCTGGGACCACAAGTGCCTGCCACAACGCCTGGCTATTTTTTAGTTGCAGCTATCATTGTTGTTTTTGGTGGGCCCAGGCTGGATTCGAACCCACCACCCTAGGTGTATGTAGCTGGCACCTTAGCCACTTGAGCCACAGGTCCTTTTCTAAGAGAAAAGAAGAATGAGTTTGTTCTAAAATTCCTCAGGGCAAGCCCTAAAACAACTGAAAAGCAATTTCAACCTGGGGTGGGGAACCTGCAACCTCTAGATTACAGGATTGTTCTTTTTTAAACACCAAAGCGGGTAAGAAAACCTTCATTATTCTCTCCTGTGCCCCTTTTAAGTAAAAGAATTTGTTCTGTAAAAATTAGATTCAGTCAAAAGGCCAAACTTAAGGACCCAGTTCCCCACCAGATACAGTTCTTGGGAAGGTCACACACAGCATTATTTAGGGGTGAACTACAAGATGAAGTGCCCCATGGGGGTAACTGGGGAAGATTTAAAGAGGAACAGCCAGAAATTAGGGTTCTGGAAGGTCAGGCATCCAAGCTGGTCTGGTGCTGATATGCATGTGGCCGGCTCATAGGACAATGGGGAACATATTGGAAGGCTCTAATCTCCTAAAATAAGGCGATGGTGAGAATATAGAGAGCCCTGAAAGTCTAGTGGGAGGTTCTCATCTCATTCACGTGGAACAGTTTGAGATTCTCAGCAAGGAAAATATGAATAAGTTTGACTTTAAAACAGATTTGAAGCTTATAGTGAACAGAATAAAAAGGAGCACCTGGACTCAGCAGCAGCAGACTGGGCTGAGAGGTAGCCACAAAGGGCTGGCTTAGGAGCTAGGAAAGGGGGAGGAGACTGACATTCATCCATTCATCAGACACCCCCCAAATGCCAGGCGCTTAGGTCAAATTCTCATTTCATCCTCCAAACCCACCCCTGTGGTTCCTTAGCCACTTTACAGATGCAAAGTGGGTCCGAAAGAGATGTGAAATAACACCGCTCAAGATCATATGGAAGCCAGTGTGTCACTGAGACACATCTTGAATCCAAAAGATCCCATGTTCCTTCCATTATCACAGCTTTAAAAAATGAGTTCCTCTTGGGATATGAGTCCATGAGGGAGTGAAGCTGAAAGTCATAAGCCCCTAGGTCCAGAGGTGGATACATGGGCACTGAGAACTCTCCAGGAAAAGACAGTCTTAGCCAGATGCGGTAAACATACAATCTCAAAAGTAAAAAGGTTTATTCTGGAAAATCTGGTGCTGGAGACACTGGCAAGGTACTTTATCACATTACGAGTTACTATAGCCCTTCGTGCCCCTCCTGCTCCACTATGTTGAACCAACAATAACCTCTTCCCTCCTGGTGGTCTTTACAGACCACCTCCTGATCCGTAAAGAAGGGAACTTTGAGATCCACTAGATCAGAGGTTCTCAACCTTCCTAATGCTGCGACCTTTTAACACAGTTCCTGTGGGTCATAACCCACAGGTTGAGAACTGCTGCACTAGCTGGTAAATGCCACATAAGCAGGGATTTCTGCCTGTTTTGTTCAGTGATTAAAACAAAGCCTGGCACGTGGTAGATGGGCAAATACCTGTTGAATATTCATATTAGTCAGATCGGACCATGGATAATTCTGCTGGCACAATCTCTTGTGCTTTCAGGTTGAGGGTAATGGGAAAGTATCAGATTAATTTTACAAGACATTACACCTGAATGACACTTGAGCAACATCTATAATCTTAGTATATTAAAGTCTCTAATTTTTTTTCCTTTTCTAATGAGGCTTTTGCAGTTATATACATAACTATGTTGGGAACAGCAAATTTCTATGAATTCTTTAAACTTTATCCTTTTTCCCCCCACTCTACAGTCTATTGGGTTTCAAACTGATCAAAATGACATGTGTACAAAATGAAGCTCATACTATATCCCAAAGCAGAGATCTGGGCCTGGGGATCTGTTATTGGCCTCTGCAGGAGCTCCAAGATGAAGGGTAGCCAATCCTCCCACTCTAGAAGTATGGCTACTGGGGTGGGAAGGAAAAGGGGCCTACCTGGCTTTGGTCACAGAAGCCAGAGCCTGGCAGTAGGCCAGAACAGATGGAGGCTGGAAGGTCAGGCACCCAGAACTACTCTGCCCAGGGAGCTCAGGGACTGCTGCGCCACTCCCCCTTGTGCAGGGGCTGGTACAGGAGGAAGGCAGTGAAGCAAGAGGAAGTAGAAGATACTGCCGTGTGGTGGTGGGCGGACAGGGGAAGGTGTGGGGAGGTGGGCTAGCTGCCACTAGGCAGCCCCCAGCAAGTTTCATAAATGCCACCGCAACCAATGTAACACACCCATTTAATGACATCATGGTCGCTGTAGTCCAGTTCGGTTCAAACACCTTCAAGTAGCGTAGCTCGAGGCCAGAGGGTGCGAAGGGCACCTCCAAGTTCATGGAAATGGGGGGCCGCGCCCATTTCTTCTTGTCATTGATGGGAAGAAGCCCAATCTGTGCAAATTGGCAATTCCCTCCTGCCTGCCACGCGCTGGATCTTCCACATGATGGTGTTCTCGCTGGCCTTGTAGTTGGCCTTCCTCTTCCTGCAGATCACCTGCACTCTGCTTGCGTTCAGTGGGGTTGAGATCCTCACCTCAATCTTCTGAGCCACCAGGGAGGGCTTAAAGTTGGACTCGATGATCACTTGACCTCTAGTTTGGCATGTCCCACTTCCTGCACTAATGGGATTACCCGGACAGGAAGGATAATGTCCTTGGTGGTGTGATACCTCATAAGTTCAAATTCTCCATCTGGTGGGATGAAGGTGATGCCACATTCAGAGTCAAGCCTGTCAAGTTGCACACTGGTGGAAGATGCAGTCATCAATGGCAAATGATTGCTTCTGGCTCTTGCTCAATTCATCTGTTGTGCCTTTGCCCTGCTTTTCAATGACAGTCTATCTTGTCCTTCATCCCAAACTTGCACTCAGGCATGCCACTCAGGTAGCTCTACATCACCAGCCAGCTGACACATGGGAACACAGCACCTGCCCCTGTGGGGACATGAGCAGGTTCACACTTTCCAGTACACCCAGGAAGAGCTCAATCCTAAGTTATTTGATCCCCGCCAGCCCATCTGCCCAGTCACCCAGCAGATCTGGGGCTGCTCTGCTGGGTGATGAAGGTTTTCTTTTT